GCTCGCCCTCCTGCTTAGTGAGTCAATAAGAAAATCCTTTGGCTCTGCATGACTTGCTTAGACCTCAGACCTTCCATGCAGAATAAGGTCTAGCCAGGGAGGCAAAACCAAGGTGCCACTCCAGCTGGTAAAACAAAGATATTTTTAAAGTGCAGTCAGGAGAAACAGGCACTCCTATCCCATGTATAATCAAGGATGAAAAGGCCACGAAAAATACCACTGCGCTTTGCAAATGAGAGGTCAATTGAAATGTCAAGATATCAAATGTTAATGGATTGCATTTCCAATGATGGTTGGGACAGAAAACCATACCAAGTCAAGTCAGATGCCCTTCAGAGGAGAAGATGAATTTTATGGCAGGAAAAGACAATAAACACCAGAAATCTTGCTGGTTAACAAACTTGTGGCTGATGGAAAACAAATATATTTTGCAGCAGGATTTTAACACAAGCTATAATCTCAAAACATGTATCTGGAAGTCATTAAAACTACAGCAAATTTAAGCATATGCAGGTGTTTGGGGAAAATGCCATTACTTTCTACTGAAGATTTTAAAAGGGACTATAAAAGAAGGGAGTATAAAGGACACTCAAGGAAAGCAATGTTTTCTTCCCTGAAGCAAGAAGTCGCTTCCAATATTTTCACAGTTCTACAGAATTTCATGGACTACATGACTACACTCTTAAGAGCATTCATTTTCCATTTAAAAATTCTAATTTCTTTCTTACAAAACCCTTGCATTTTATAGTGTCGGATGACATCAAGTTTTAGCCAAACCATTCTCTCACCTGCCCACATTTTCCCATCTGGCCATTTTCACAAACAACTGTAATCTGAGACATTTGTTTAGAGTGACATTATATCCAGTCCATAGTCAGAAGGGCATTGCCATACAAGTAACTCATCTCTTTGTATGGAAAACCTGAAAAGAACATGTTTATGTTCCTAACACTGTTTCTGCCCAACACAGTGGACATAGAGTCTTCCTTTCCAATTGCAGGGAGACTTGCCTTGTGTCTGTATAGTTCACTGGTGGGCTAATCCACATTGTAAGTGGATCTGGAGTAGGAAGACTCCTTGGTCTATACAACAGAAGGATGTAATATCAGGAATGAAGAACAGTGACTCATCATTTGCTCTTTTCTGAAAGAACAACTACTTGAGTGGATTCCAGTGAAAATATGAGGAAAAGGGTTTAAAACAAACAAAAAGATTGTTTTTCCCCACAATGTGGTGCTCAATGTCACACAATGTTGTGGTGACAGGAGGTATAAACTGACTTCATGGAAGACTTTGCATGGAAAGTAAGTCCACTGGTGCCTCCTAAACACAGGATGTGTGTTTGTGGAAGTGCAAAACACTGTGTGCAGGAAGGTGGGAGGAGGTCTCTGTAATTGCTGTTCTTTGCCCCTCACCTTCTGCTGCTGGCAGAGATGAAGCCCTGGGCTGGTTGACCTCCAGACCACGTTAGTGTGGAGGCTGCCAAGCCAAGTGCATTTGTCCTTGAGGGTGGGGACTACCCTGGATGTGGGGGGATCCTGCATCTCAGCCCACCTCAGGACAAGTGATGTGAACCAAGTCAACACGAACATGATTCCTCCAAGTTTTATGCTGATGTGAGCTCCCATTGTCCACACAAGTTCAGAAAGAAATCTGGGTTTCAGAACAAAGCTATTGCGGGGTTTTAGTGATATCACTGTTCTTCCCCTCTTGCATCAAATAACGGGTTATAAAAGATTAATTCCTCTGGATCTGCCCTAATTCAAAACCTTCTCTCATGTAACAGATCTTTAGAAATCAGAAACCCTCCATAGACGGTAGTAAAATTGTTTAAGTCATGTTACCTCTTTCAGATGCAGGTATAGGAACAGCTTGATAAGGACCAGCAAGTAAACAAGCATGTAGGACTTTACATCCAGGAAGCCCTTTTGTTCCACAGACTCTCAGTGTAAACATGGCTAAAACCAATGGGAGAAAGCAAGTGCTCCTTCCATAACAAGGCCAGGAGAGCATAAATTAGTTAAATTGAATGGATTCAGCAGGTATGGGGCCCACCTTGGTGTCATACACCCTCAGAAAAGGGTCTTATGCTTTTGGAAAAAAAAAAAAAATCAGTTCTGCAGATACAGAGATTTCTTAGCTATTTTCTGAGTGCTTATTTATAGTAATATTATGTAAGATGATGCTACCAATACATAAAGATGAGTTCTGAGAATGCCTTGTGCCTTCCAGTACTACAAGCACCATGGAATTGAAGCCAAGCCTTCTTTCTGAAGCAGCCAAGTGCCACTGCACCTACTTGGGCCATCAGGAAGCTCCCACAAGATAGTCTGAGCACCAACATCCCCTTGGACATTGAGAAACCAGCTGCTTGGCTGCCTTACTGAACTGCAAAAAGAAAACTTCCTTGTTTTTCCCTCTTTCCTTGTATTTCTGCCTTATTTAATGCTGTAGGGATTCCAGAGAACATAAAAGAACAGTAAAACTCCTACCAAATATTACACTAGCAACGTTAATGAACTGAGCAATGAAAAGTAAATAGACCATTTCTATAGAAATCTTCATTGTGCTCCTAAACTAATACATTAAATGGTGGCACTATTGGCTCTGTCCAAGGACTTTATATAACCTACAGTCTTTAAAAGGAAGTCATTTTTGCTTCAGTTTTGGAACACAAGAACTATGTCAGCATAAGGTAAAAACAAGGAAATTTTTTATGCTAATGACAACTGCGAATATTTTATATATATATTTATCTATATAAAAGAAATATATATTATAGCAGATGTCAAATGCAGTTAGATTCAAGTCTACTTATTAGTGCATGGCTTTTAGCCAAAAGCAATTCACATTTGCAGAAGTGTACTATCACATATGTCTTAATAATAAAAATGTGTTTTTAAAAATGTATGTGATAAGTCACATATGGTAGAAGGAATCTGTACAGCTTTCAGCCCTTATGACAATGGAAGCTACTAACTTTATTTTGCATAGCTGAAGAACATTAAAATTCAAGTGAAATTCTCCTTGACATTTGAGAGCTACAAAAGCAGCTACTAAAAGCTGGCCAAGCCTGAGCTGTACTAAGTGTGGCTCTGACACTTCTACATAAATGCGATCCATGGCTACTACTGCTATCTTAAAGACACTATTCTTTCTTTTACCTGGAGAGCTTTAGCATACAATCATAATTGTACACAGGTACCTTAAATAGTTACATGTCACTGAACAAAACTAGGCAGATTTTTCAGCTGCTTTGTTATGCACAGTGTAATTAATGTGTATAATGGATCCCCTAGGGTACTAATTGAAGCTGCCACCATGAACATAGTCAAGGAGAAGTTAAACAACCAGTTGGGGGAAACATGACAGGGTGAAATACACACATGTAAGTGCAAAGAGTGAGACTGTCCATCTGGCCTTCTTCCATCTCAAAATATTGCCCTTACTCAAGTCCTATAAAAAATATCTTAACCTAAATCACCCTTTCCCCCCAACTCCCAAATCTTTCTGGTGGATTAATTTGGCATCAGTGGCACATACATTCTGTTTAATAATTGCAGTGCTCAATGCCTCCGTTATAAGTGGGAAGATACAATTCAGTTGAGTAATTCTTGAGAATTTGACTCAAAATATATAAAAAAAGTGTATGAATGATAAATGATTATTTTGGAGCTGTTCCCCAGGAATTTCATCACCTTGCAACTCCTGGATCCTGTATAATGTGAGATGAAAACACAGCTCATTTCACTCTCTATTAAACAACCCCCAGCTAACAATGACTTTAATTCAGCTTGCACTGAATTTGAACTAGCCCTATAGGCAAGAAAGGTCCCTTGTCTTATTACAAGTTTCACATGCTATCAGGTCCTTGCTGGATCCTATTTCTAATTTTTATCAGACCGAATGAAACATAAGGAGAGAGTGATTTATGTTCATCTGACATATCCCCTAATCACTCCAAGGACTGTTCATACACATTCTGTGTTCACTTTATAAGGTGTAAATGACTATACATGATGGAATCCAAGTGACAAATAGATCTGTACTCTTCTGTTATTGTGCTAGAACACAATGACTGGGGAGTCCTGTCAGTGCATGTTCTTACAAACACAAACCCACTCCAGTCTAAAAGTCAGCATTATCAGCAAACTACTAAAAAAAAATAGGAACTCTGTCTTTAACAGGAATATACAGTTACTGGGACATAGTTAAACTGCTATGAATACCTACTGAAGTTTAAATACGTGTTTTTATTGCTACATAAGAGCCCATTAGGACTGGAGTATTCATTATTTAAACAGAATAACTGATGCTGTTAGCTTTAACTGAAAATGCCTTTTCTCAAAGAGCCAGGACATCTATACAGCAACTTCCTTAATTCAATGATATATGGTTGAGTGTTGCTGCTAGTGCCCTAAGATTTAAGAACTTATCATAAAATGCCCTTGAAATTGCTCCCTGGTAGCTTGCTCATCCTTCACAAAGCTCTGTGCAAAGAGCAGAAACATGCATGTATGTATGGTGCAAGAGGGCACATGCACAGAGGGAGAAAGAGCTCTTAATCAACAGGATAGCAAAGCCTTGATACATAGGTGCAAAAGATTCCCATGTGCCCAGAAATTTTTTGGCACATTGCTAGTTATTTCCCCCGTCAGACCTTCTTGAGGATTGCAATTAAAAATCATAATCTTTTTTGCATTTACAAACCTCCCCAAGGCTAGAAGCACTATGTATTGAGCATGATTGTGATTATTTGGCAGCTATTCATAGACAACACATTAATTTATGGAAACTGGATGAAACTTGAGGAGTGCAATCACTAGGGACACAAGAGAAATCGAAAGCTTTCCTCAATGATACTGACCTTTTTACTACTATGATTAGGGGCAACATGAATTCTATTATCTCCTTCATCACCCCTCTTACTGTCTTTTTAGTCATTGTATACAACAGTGTCATTAAACTTGCATTTTCAAAGGGATATAAAAATAACTTACTTTACAGGAATGTTTCTCAATTTTGTTTTTTCGGCAGCCTGTAAACACAAGAGGGGTGGGGGAAACAAATCATTAAGCAAGAGCCACACCAAAGCAAGCAAACATCAGCTCATGGAGCTCTTCACTAGCAACATCCCAGGCTGTGGGACTATTCAGAGAGATAGTGCTGGGTCTGAAATGCTCCTGCCCCAGTTTGTGATATCAGTGGGGTTTGTTTACTTTTAATGGCCACCAGTCTTTAGCAACTGCTCATTTAGGGCTGTAACTTCATTTCCCACTCTGAGGTCTGGCCCCTTTGTCACAAGCTATCTGTCCCTATCAGGAGCAAGAACAACAACAGGAAGAAATAGAGGGAAGAATGGATTCCATTTCCAAAACTGTTTTTATTCACCAGCAACAGAAAAGGGCAAGAGATGACCAAATGTTCAGATCAATTTCCTCTTGTGAAACCTTTGAGAAAACACACTCCAAATCATCTAAATGAGTAAATCTTTGGGCCCCTCGGCCTGCACCACCTCAGACATGGAGCCTGGTTCCAGTTTATTGCTGAACCCATTGATCTGTGTACAGTCCATTTATCATTCATGAAAAGAGCCAGTGATCTTCACAGTATATTAGAAGAAACAACTCAGATCATCTGTCAACGGCCCTCTTATTTCTGTTTCCCTCTCCACGGGGATTTCATCTCCTTCGATTCTTCTTGAATTAAAATGTTGCTAAGCAACACAGCTGGGGGCAGCGATGGCAGCGCCGCGCCAGTCTGTCACACCGCTTAAGCTGCTCGAGATGCTAGGGGAGACTCTTCCCTTTAATGCTTCTCTGCCATAATTATGTAATCTGAACCGACCTTGCATCCCTCTCTTGTTTTGTTGGGAATAGGTAAATAATATTTTAAAGGAAGAGGGATGGAAATATAACTGGCAGAGAAAGCTGGTGTTGTATCATTTCGGAGAATTCCTCCTGGTGTTTGCAGAACAAGGCTGTAATAGATTTAAATGTGGAAAGTGGTCAGATGGTTGGTGAGATTACAAGCACAGAGAGTAGTGAAAGGCAGAATTAAGACAACTGATCCATAAACCCATTATAGAAAGGAAAGTTTTAGTGCCTAATTACCTCCAGAGGTATTTTTACAAAGCCTGCCGACATTTAGGAGAAGGGTTATGGTGAGGAACTTTAACCTCTGCTATACTTAGGGATGGAAATAAAATGGTTCATATGTAGGAAGTGTGAATATTAGTGGTTCAGAAAAATGCTCATATAAGCCCTTGACAAATTAAATCCTTTATGAAAAATTACGGACTTTTGAAACCTCTGTGACCGCACAACTGGGTACCAAATTTTGCCAGAATGAATTTTCCCTTGAGCTCTATGATGGGGCTAGTTTTTCAAAATACCTGCTCTTTTGGCACTTTTGCCTCCCATCATAGCAAAGGTAATATCTGCATTTAAATCCATGAAAATCCCTAATAATGAGTTTAAAATTTGGGAGAAAGAATGAGAGCTTGTGAGAGCTTGGGTGGTGTAACAGCAATCCTCTGGGCTGGCTCCCAGCTTGTAAAGAAAAATATGTTTGTTTCATTTGGATTATATTTTCCATCTAAAGAATAAATCAACGAATGCATGATAGGAATCAATTACATTAATTGTACAGTAGGGGTGCTAAATAAAACACTTAAACCTCAGGAAATGTTCAACTTCAGATTGCACAAGTAATTGAGAGAAACCCAAGCCTAATTATGCCTTCTCAAACAAGCTTATGATGAAATGGGGTCCCTGCCTCAACAGTGAGATAATGTGATTGTGTCTTTTTCCAATAGTTCTCTGCAAATGCAGAGTCAGAAGCATGCTATTAAGAAACTTCCTAAGTAATAAACTACATGTAACAACACACAAATGCTTAATTTAAAAATAACTCAAACATCATCAAAAATGGCATTTTAGTTTCCCAAACTTCCTACTAAAATCCAAGTTTCAGTCCCATCCTGCAGGAAACTAAAATTATTTTTAAAGCTCAAAAACATTTTTCCACAATGTCAGAATATTTTTTTACTGTAGAGTGGTATTTTCCTTGACTCTTCTATATACCAAATAGCTGGACCTTAACAATTCTGAGTTCAAGCATGTGAAACTTGCATCTAAATCAAGGTTTTTCCCTGAATTATTCAAAAAATCACTACACAAAAACAGGTATCAAAATACAGATAAAGAAGAGGAAACAGCAGAGAGGAGAGTGTCTAGGATCACAAGTAAATAATGATAATGCAGTTGATTTAATACAAAGTACAGCAGAATATATTCTGGAGAGCACATGCATGATGGTGTGAGCTAAACTGTTTACATGAAAGATTAAAGAAGATGAAGATATTTCAGAGAGTGAGAACTGGCAATGTCAAAGTCACAGAATATTAAAAAGCAGAGTCTAAACTACGTGTTTGATTTTTGGCCACTTAGCTATGTCTATCGCAACCATTTACCCTGAAAGAAAGGTAGCAGTTTCAGGAAGAAAGAACTACAGATATTTTTTGTTTTCTTGGGCTGCGAACATTCTAGCATACATATTTCCCTAGATTTTTACATGGAGAATTTCCACCTTTTTTTCCCCTTTGTTACCAGAAAATCACACCTTCCTAACTCTTAAGAAGAGACACATGCTGGAGGAACAGTGCCCTTCACACATATGCTTGCTAATACAAGACTGAAAAACCATTACAAGCACTTGGGTTAATCTACATGCCAGCCCAGTTTAATGCTGGATCATCAGACAAGTGGTCATTTCCTGTTACAAAGGATTCACTTTGAGCGGGATCAGGGTGATGTTAAACACAGCACACAATACATCAGGGATTCCATCAGAGAAAGAAATGCAGGATCTGTCCTTCTGTTTTTATTTGTTTTGTAGGTGCTGCTCATTCATTTTTCAAAGTGTATTTGTTGCGATATCATGAGCATGCCCAGTGGCAGAAGATAAAGGAAGGCAAAATCAAAGTGACATTGAGTAACTCTACACATTAGGCTTTGATGCAGAAACGTATTGTTTGAAAATATTTGGTGTGCAGCAGGTCTGTCAATTAGAGCTAATTATTTTTCTCTGATCAGGAAGAATGCAATCTTGTTTTAGGCAGGTTTCTTTGAAATGTACGTCTTTTATATAACTTCATTATAGGAAAATACTTCTTCCAAATTACTTCTTTTCTCGGCTGCTTAGCTATTGACTCAAATTGTCTGTGTTGAGTAGTTCTCTCTGCTTTGATAATTAACTTTTGATCATTACTGAATTTAGCAGCTCTAGTCAGATGTGTTCATAGCTATCCTCCTCAACTATTTCAGTGTTCATCGCCTTTAATCTTTGAACAAAATGATCTCATTGAGCCTCCATCAGCCTCGCTACTCAGTTAATAATTCCTGTTTCTCATCTTCACCACTGAGTTTGATTTGTTTTAGACTTGATGCAAGCTTTTGATTATTAATTTAAGATATTTCAAAGACAAACATGTTTTAAGAGTAATTTTTTTAATCTTATATTCCTAGGCCTTTACAAGTAAGAAATTGGTTTTAACTTCACAATGACTCCTGAACTTCATGTATTAAAAGTACTATCTAGAAACAGAACAGGTGGGAGGTCCCTAAACCCCCATATATGTGCCCTGAGTGACAGATGCTGCTGCCAAAGATTGAAATGAAATTGGACTGGTACAATGAAATATTCAATGGGTGTTAGGAGAATTACATCATGGGATCTTTGCTAATTTTGAGCTTGAAAACATGCATTAAAATAATTTAGGATGATTAGAAAATGGAAGTTGGAGTGAACCAGACAATCATTCCACTTTAATTTGTAATTTTCTTCTGATTTTTTTTAACAATTATGGCCTCTGAATAATTGTGCTTCTGCTCCCTAAGACCTTATTTCAACAGCTGACTCCAGTGTTGAATAAGAAGGAAGAAGACGAGGAATGTGTGAAAAGCTGTGAGACACAGAGGCTCATCCATCAGAGAGATTTTGCCCAGGGATGCTTTACCTGATTCTTGTAGCTGTGAACGACTCCTACCTCTACACCTGATTTTGGTACTACTTGTTTTACCATTAGCTGAAGAGGCACCTGCACTGTGGTGTACTTGTTCTGTAATGTGATTTACCCATAAAAATACTTTGTTAGAAGGTATTCAATTATTACACAAAAGATTAAACACGGGAATAAGCACAAACTACTTCTAGATTATGAACAAGGACTAAAAATGTAAAAACAATGCTTTTATTCATCACTCTCTATTACCTGACTGGCTTTTGGATTGAATGAACCAGAAAAAGTATTCCAGTCAGTACAACTTTCCTACATCACAAAGGAGAGATGAATGAACTGACAAGGGGATGGCTCAAAAATAACCAATTAAAATAATTGGCATCTGCAAAATGCAAATTATATTTTTGGTGAAGTGTTACAGGCAAAAGGTCTGCTATCCAAAGAAAAAAAGTATTTTTCATTGCATAACTGAAAATCCAGAATTTTCATTGAAAACTATTTGATTTTGAGAAAGTGGGATTAGACAAAAGATTTTTTCCAAGAATGCCCCTTCACCCTCTTGATTCAGAAGCACTGGTGAGCCAGCTAAGAAGGCAATTGCTGAGCCTCAGAGTATCTCTTAGGATGAGACAGAGGACACTTCATGCCATTGAATGGGCTGCCAGAAGAAGGCAGGCCTTCATGCTCAAACTTTCCCCCTTTTTCCATGAGCTGCTGCAACTCTAACTCAGGTTTATTTCATAGTTTCTGACCAGCTCTGCCTGCTTGGGTGAACAGCCAAGTGACTATACAAGTAAGTTTATAATCCACCACTCTTCTCCTGTGCTGTAGGTATAGAAGAGGCTCCTCAGAGACTCAATTCAACAGTACAGTAAAAACAAAGATACTTTTCACATTAGTTAAGTTTTATATATATAGTTTATATCTCCTCCTAGATTATAATTTGTTTTGGAAATTATACCATGCTCTTATTTATACAGAATGCCTTCTCTATGATCCTAAGTAACCAACTGAGA